AAATGCAAACTAGTTCAAATAGAGTCGACATATAAATATCGATTAAAAACGAAGACAAGTACAATCATTTGCATATAAGAAAAGTTCAATCTTGACTTGATAGATTCAATTAAAAATTGGAAGTAAAAAATTTTTTCTTCAAAAATAAATATCTATTAAGTCTATTGGTACGAGTTTAATAGAAAGGTTAGTATTACGAGAAGATAAGTTTGAAATTTGGGTTAACTTGATGCATAGGGTTGTGTAAGATGCCTTCGAGATGAAAATGTAATCGTTATTATTAAATATCTTATTTAATAATAATATAATAGTTCTCATATTCACATGAATTTCTTCATTTATTATAGTTTAAATGATTTCAATTTTTTATTCGTTATAAATGAAACTGTTATTATTAAATTAAATATTTAATATCATTAAAATTCTTCATGGTCCAAATGTTATAAATTTGAATTAATTCTTGAATGTTATGAGTTGGTGATAATAAATGTTCTTGATGGGAGAACATCTATATAAACGAGGATTTTGGTCCTTGGGCTCAACATATCTTTGAAGTCAAGGATTTCCTACACCATCTAAAGCGAGAGTTCTGAGTTGAGAAGTGTCAAAGTTCAAGAAGAAACCGCTGTAGAAATTCTTGACAATAATGGTTGGAGATACGCTATTTCATTTTAGCATCAATTTTTATTATGTTTATATTATAATGATTTAGAAATATATTTTAAAAACTAAGCTCTCGAGATAGTTGTTGAAGAAGTTGTACGAGGTGTCACCTATACAAAAACCAAGGTCACGAGAGAATTCTCAATCTCATCCCTCCAACATCCAAATTAATAACTAGAGATAGATATATGCAGTAATAAATAGTAAAAAGTGACTACTTAAATATATTAAAAGTAAACTTTTGTACCTGATAATAAAAATGATATATTTTATAGAATATTCTTTCAAGATAATTTTTAATTATCTTTAATAATCTCGATTTGACCTCTTTTTCACGTAAAAGATAAGGATGAAGGCAACACATAATTGCATATCGATGTCCACACGGGAGGGAGGGACATCTTCTATCTCTTTTTTTCTACTTGGATACCATACGAAATATATATATATATATATATATATATATATGTTTGATTGATTGATTGATAATATTATCAATTAGTATCCAAAAATTAGGAAGCTTCAACTCTTCGTACATAAGAAAGCTGGAATCTGTTACCGTGTTCGGCAATAATACATGACAAGAGATTAAATTGCCCAGGAAAATAGACAAAATTAATAACACTCACTCACATTAGAACTAAACCTTATAATTCCATCTCCAAAGCCTTCAACCTCTCGGGCCATGACTTCTGATTGCTGATGTAATGAATGACCTCCAATGCATCTAATTTGACACACATGTTTTGTGTGCGTTGGCTTTCAATCTTGAATGATCCTCGATGATAGCTCTTCCTCAGCCTACTTAGGCATCTTCAACTTCACAGTTAGTACATCCAGCAGCCAGCAGACCTCCCCTTGCGTCCTTAATGGAATGAAAAACCATCACATTTAATGAAGTGAATGGAAATATCGATTAAATCTGTAGTACAAGCTGGATGGAAAGATAGAACTCATGCTAAAAATATAGAAAAACAACATTTTCTTGTTCTCATATATTTTATCATTAAGATCAGAGGTCATTCTTGCAAACCATTCTGATAGAAGATGATGTATTTAAGCTTTTTCACTTCTTCAATAAAGCTTCTTCGATAATTGTTCTTCTATTATTTTCATCATGGTATTAGAGTAGTGAGAAAAGCGAAGCTTCGCTCTTGCCTTTGGCCAGCGACCAATGCCGTTGAGAAAAGCAAAGCTTCGCCCTTGCGTTCGATCAGCGACCAACGCCATTGCAGCCAAATTCCTAAGAGGCTCCGCGCTAATCCTTATCTTCCTCACTGCGATAGTCTTCGTTGATCTGCCAACAGTCAGCGGACTTAAGGAGAACGAAGGACAGACCTCTACTCACGAAGCCTCTCGCTCGTAAACCATTCTTTGCATCGATCCAAGATTGGTATTCTTGACAGGAGCACCATCTTGCGGGGGCATGATAGAAGATAATGTATTTAAACTTTTTTACTTCTTCAATAAAGCTTCTTTAATAATTATTCTTATCTTTTATTATTTTCATCACATTCAACAACTAGGTGCAATAGATCTTCGAATATTACACAACAGAACAGCTAGAATTGTTTGAGGGTAGACAACTTAAGTGCGATCACATAATCCTCTATTTTAAGCACCAAGAATCAGGGCCTCAACTATTCTTGATGGATGACATGAAACTTCTCCATGGCTGCAAGAACTTTAGCATGCAACCACACCACTAGACTACGAGTCCTACGATAACTTCATGGCGACCTTCACACGATGGCCATCATAAATATTCACATATACTGTATTCAATAAACTCAGTAAACCAGTCTTGGAATTGGAATAATTAATACATGCAGTCTTACTCAACCAATCATAATTAATGTGAAAAAAGAATAATTTCAAGACAAAGAATGGTTAAATTTTATAATACTAATACATAAAATCAGATCTGGAGATGGAAATATTCAAGTTTCAAAGCCAGGGAAGATGTGTTTCGCCTGGTCAAAACAAGATAAAAGAAGGTGTTAAATAGTCAAAAAGAATCGGTCAAGCAAACAAATGTGATCATATTTTATATCAATGGTCAAAAGAAGCTATCGAGAAACCATGCGGCTTGTGATACGTTACACGCAACTCCAATGTGGATGCTTGGCCTGTTCTCTAGAGATGCCAAAGAGCCAAATAAAGAATATATCCCTTGCGTGTAACACGGGGTTCATATTCTAAAACAATGGCTTATGCACAGTGTTCTTTTAGTTCTCCCATAGGGCAATTCCCTTAGCAACTTTCTTTTTCTTGGTTATATAAACCTCGTTTATACCTAAGATTCATCTTTATAGACTGCTTATATAAATGGGAGCGGGTTAACATTTTTTGGTATTCAGGATTTTTTTTTTTTATCATAGATTGATAGAAGTACAATTTCAGATATCTCAAAGAAATGAATTTCTTATTTTTTTTATCATTCCTAACGGTAGGGTATCTTCTAGTATCGTCCTATGATCATTAGTTGACAGTCACGTTAGAGCCAGCCTAGAACCTCGAAGCCAATATGGTGCACGTGTGCCAATGTGATACCTCAGATCCCTACAAGGCGATGGGCCATGCCTGCGTCACTCGAGACTATACGAGATGATATCGCATGGAACCACCCGAGAATGCGCAAAACGACACCACATGGCATGGAACCATGTAAGTCGATCCGCATAGTGTGGAGTGTACGAGCCAATAGCCCGAAGCATCGATGACCATTAATGAATCACATACAATCGACCCTCCACTATAGGTATAAAGGTGACCCCCTGGCCAGCTCCAGGAGATCGAACCTCGGATGCTAAAAATACCCTCAACTCCATCTCATATTGAATTAAGTTTCGGAGGGTCGAGTTGGGAATCCCCCTCTCAACTTTGACTTATGTGCATGAATCTAGCATAGAAGAGCCCACCTCATACTATTCTACCTTGGGTTGATCCGACTGACGGCACTCCGACCCGACCAGATACCGACCCCCTCGCCTTAAGAATCCACGTGGATGATATTGTGCCTTTAGGATCGAATCAAGTCGTACTGATTCCTTGACCACGATGTAAATACCAAACACAAAGAAGAAGAGATGGCAAAAGCTTGAAGTTTAGTTTTTTTTTTGAATTTGTGATGAGTTCATATGTTTAGAAAATAGATATTCTATACGAATTTAAAGTGAAGCAAAATACATGAATGCTATGCGTGTTTGTTGCCTTCCCTAAAAGTCAAGAGGGAGCGAGAGAGAGAGAGAGAGAGATTAACTTGTAATCAACAGGGATGCATGCCGTGGTTGACGGCAGCCGGCGGTGGCATGTAGTGGAACACCAACTCCTTCCAAGCTTTCTTCTCCTTCATCTTCTTCTGCAGATTGTTGCGTGCTTCTCCTCCATTTACCCTGCAACTGATGCACCACCCCAGCTGGGATTCCACGGTTCACCATTTGGAAGAATGGCTGGTCTCCGCCATGGAGGGTACACACCCGGCCACCATGGCCCGTCGCCGGCGTCTACGACGACTGTGATGCCCGACCGCTCGTGCTCCGAGCTCATGAACTCTGTTGCCGGTGGCCACGGAGAGATACGCCATCTCTCCTTGAGGTTAAGGGGTTCCGAGCTGCTGCTCGCGGATTGTACTTACGGCAGGACTCAAAACTTCTTACTCGTAATAGTGTTAATGTCCTAAAATATCACTCTTACTGCGTATCAGACTATTTCTTTTCTTAATTTTCTTTTATATTAATTAACATAGTAAAATAAATAGTTTTGTTATATAGCAATATTGCATTGTAAATTACAATGTATCTATTTCTTTATGTTGTATACTAAAAGCCTATTATGATTTTTGAGCTTCATATAAATAAAATATATCGGATGTTGGATGAGATTTAGAAGCTCAACTTTTGATGAGTGAATTTGAAACATCACCGTTAAATTGATATTTTATATTTTATTTATCTATTAACCTTTAATTTGTTTTAAAAAAATATATTATTTTTCAAATATCTCAAAAATAGAGAATTCTATAATATTTTCTAGAAAATAAAAAGATTAATCATATGATTTTTTTTCACACATTTAGTGTTATATATATAATAGTTCTTTTTTTGTGTCACAAAATTTGAAACCTTAAATTGATGTGAAGTCAATAAACAATGAAACTGAAAAGACCGGTCCCGATGTCACAAACCCACATAAACTCGGGCCGGTACGTACTTCCCACCGCCGCACTTCTCACGACCTCCGACGAGTCAACGCCAACCCAAGTCAGCACCAAACCACCCTCATCTTCTCCTTCTCCACCTAATGGAGGGAGGCTTCACACTGCATCCACAACGCCAATGCCAACCTCCTCTTCGCTCTTCCTCCTCCTCCTCCTCTTCCTCTTCCTCCTCACCCGCGACTCCCTCGCTGGCCCCGTCGCCACCGAGTTCCTCTACCCCAACTTCACCGCCTCCTACCTCAACTTCGTCGACAACAGCGGCGTGTTCCTCGCCTCGCCCAACGCCAACTTCGTCGCCGCCATCGCCAACCCCGGCGGCCAGCAGTCGCGCTTCTACCTTTCGCTTACCCACTCGGCCACCAGAAAAGTCGTGTGGTCGGCCAACCGCGACGCGCCCGCTCCCAGAGACGGCACCGTTACGCTCTCTACACGCGGCCTTGTCGTCTCGCACCCCAACGGTTCCGTCCTGTGGTCCACTCCCCTCCTCCCCTCCCCCGTGCGCGCCCTCCGCCTCCTCGACTCCGGCAATTTCCTCCTCCTCGATGCCGCCAACGCCACCCTCTGGCAGTCCTTCGATCACCCCACCGACACCCTCCTCTCCAGCCAAGTCCTCCCCGCCGGCTCCTCCCTCATCGCCTCGGTCTCTGATAATGACTTTGCTAGCGGCGATTACTCCCTCGTCCTGACCACCGGCGATGCCATCATGACCTGGAAGGGCGGCGCCCAGCAGTACTGGAGCCTGTCGAAGGACGTGCGCTCGTTCAAGAATTCCAATTCAGGAGTCGCCTACATGGCCACCAACGTCACCGGCCTCAACCTATACTCCACCGAGGGGAAGGTCGTGTTGCAGGCGTTCCTGCCGACGTCGGATTTCCGAATTGTGAAGTTGGACCCCACGGGGCGGTTCCACGTTTTCAGCTACTCGGCCGCCAACGCCTCGTCGATCCTCGACGACGAATTCACCGCGCCGACCAGCAACTGCGATCTCCCGTTCCCCTGCCTGTCGCTCGGCGTTTGCACCGCAGGAGCCAACGGCTCCACCTGCAACTGCCCGGCTCGCTTCGTGCAGTTGGAATCTGGCAATTGCTCACCGGCCAACGGATCTCTACCTCCCTCATCCTCTTCCTCGTCTTCAGCCTCCTGCGGCGGCGATTCGGATTTGGCCACCTCTTATATACAGCTCGGGAGCGGAATTGACTACTTCGCCAACAAATTCGCGAGTCCAGCGACCTCCGGCAACGATATCTCAGCGTGCCAAAACCTCTGCACAGGGAACTGCACATGTCTCGGATTCTTCTATAGGAATTCTTCCAAGTCCTGTTATCTCATGCGTAACACACTTGGTTCTCTCTTCAAAAGAAATGCCGGCGAGACTTCGAGCTCCATCGGCTACATCAAGACGCTGGTTTCAGGATCGTCGCCACCGACTTCGGGCGGCACGTCGAAGACCCACTTGATCGCGATCTTGTTGCCCACTGTAGCGGCATTCTTGCTTATTTTCGTCGTGGTCTCGGCGGGGATCATATGGTGGAAGAGGAGCAACGACCCGAGACGCCTAAGGATGAGAAGGCCATCAAAAAGGCTGGCAACGAAGGAAATAAACTTAGGACGCCACAAGTCGTCCAAGACGCAGTCGTTGGACACCGATGATGACGAATCGACCGATGAGAACGATGGCGGAAGCGACACTTTGATACCGGGCCTCCCGACCAGGTTCACCTTCAAGGAGCTGGAGGGGGCGACAAACTACTTCAGGAACAAGATAGGCTCCGGGGGGTTTGGGGCGGTGTACAAGGGGGAGCTCCCGGACAGGACGACGGTGGCGGTGAAGAGGATCGAGAGCGCGGGGCTGCAGGGGCGGAAGGAGTTCTGCACGGAGATCGCCATCATCGGGAACATTCGGCACGTCAACCTGGTGCGCCTTCGCGGGTTCTGCGCGCAGGGGAACCGGCGCCTACTGGTGTACGAGTACATGAACCGGGGCTCCCTGGACCGCTCCCTGTTCGGTGTCGGCCCAGCGCTGGAGTGGCAAGAGCGGGTGGACATCGCGAGGGGCGCGGCCCGGGGCCTGGCATACCTGCACGCCGGCTGCGACCACAAGATCATCCACTGCGATGTGAAGCCGGAGAACATCCTTCTGCACGACGGGGGGCAGGTGAAGATCTCCGACTTCGGTTTGGCGAAGCTGCTGTCACCGGAACAGTCGGGGCTGTTCACAACGATGCGGGGGACGCGGGGCTACCTGGCGCCGGAGTGGCTGACCAACGCTGCCATCTCGGACCGGACGGACGTGTACAGCTTCGGGATGGTTTTGCTGGAGATCGTGCATGGGAGAAAGAACCGGTCGGGGGGGAGCGAGGAGTGTGAGGAAGAGGAGGAGGGGAGTGGGTCAGGATGGTCGTCGGCGGCGGCGGCAGGGGGCGGTTACTTTCCCCTGGTGGCACTGGAGGGGCACGAGGAGGGGCGGTACCTGCAACTGGCGGACCAGAGGCTAGAGTGGCGGGTGAGGGAGGAGGAGGTGGCGCGGGTGGTGAAGTTGGCACTGTGTTGCCTGCACGAGGAGCCCTGGCTGCGGCCGAGCATGGCGGTGGTGGTGGGGATGTTGGAAGGCAACATGGAGGTGTGGGAGCCGAAGGTGGAGTCGCTAAACTTCCTGAGACTCTACGGCCGAGGGTTCATGGAGCCACCGGCAACGGTGGTAGGCGGTGGAGGAGGATCAGAAAGAGTAGAAGGGGTGGTGGCTTTGGCTGGAGGTGACGATACTGCATCGCGTACGAGCGCCGTCACGGGGTTTGCTGTGGATGGAAGCGGGTCCTCCAATAGTTGCTGCTGATGTTTTTTTCTTAATTTCTTTTATTATTGATTTGCTTCTATAAATTATGCAGATAGATAAATATATATTGATTTCATAGTTGGGAAAAAGATTAGGGGCATTAGTTTGGGTTAGAAGATGTCTTGAGACTGAAATATTGAATATGAAATGCATAGAAAGAAGTAATGCTTCATAATCTTAAAAGGCAATACATGTACCACTAAGTTTTGGAATTCATGAGGTTGACCTATATTGGTACATGAATATATTGATGTCGTTATAGAGGTATTACACGATGGAAAGAATATAAGATAAGAACAATTATTGAAGAAGCTTTATTGAAGAAATGAAAATGCTTCAATACATTAACCGCAAGGCGATGAGGAAGCTACAACAGAGGTGCAGTAGAAGAGAAAGCTACAATAGAGGCACAGCAGAGGAGGAAGCTGCAACGATGGAGACGGCACAACGGAAGGGAGTTGGTACAGAGTGGTAGTGGAGAAGATAGTTGTCGTTCGCCGAGGAGGAAAGATTTATCGCACCGATGGCCTAACGATGGAAAAGCAGTAGTAGAAAGCTTTTTCTTTTGTTCTTTTGCCGCCGGAGGTGGAGAAACAACAGATGACAGCGAGAAGAGAGTTTGCTCAAGGCAAGTGACTCTAATACCATAATGGAAAGAATAGAAGATAAGAACAATTATTAAAGAAGCTTTATTGAAGAAATGAAAATGCTTCATGTTCCCTCTCCTATTTATATAGATTAGGAGAAAGAATTTCTCTCAATAGAATAGAGGATTTTCCTCAATAAAATAAAGAGATTTCCTCGTATAATTAAAGAAATCTTATCTTCTATAATTGCATTCAAGCAATACCAAAGATGTTCTCCCTAGAAAGAAAGATTGATGTTCACTTTTTCCTTGGGTCTTGGAAATGCATATTTGTATATCATGTCAAAAACAATTTGAAACGAGGCAAATTTCATCAAATTATCTGCATCAAGCAAACTCATATCAATTTGACATAAAATCTAATCTATAACACTTTGGGTTACATGCGAGACAAAACTAAGCATTTAAAACCACAAAGGCTCATAAGCACAAAACCACCTTAATCATCAATTAACTGGGAATAACTATAATTCGAGAAACAACTAACAACAATGCACTAGTAAATGTACACAGCATAATAGGACATAAATATCCAGAAGGTAATGATATTAAATTTAAATAGGGACATAAATATATACAAAACCAAGGGTTATTATAGAATTTACACATGAATTGGAAGGCTGAAAGGTTCATTTTGAAAATCAAACTCCCAATTTATTCTCATAGAAAACTTGTCCTCCTATGCCATCACTTTCAGCATCTTCGATCGACAAGTTTGCTTACCGCATGATTAAGAATGCACCTTTGTATTAGTCTTTCACTAGAGGCCTTACAAAATGAATGACCTATTATACATTTACTCTCATAAGTCTTGTTTCCCATGAGAGAGTTATACAAGAAATATGACAAGGAATTTTGCTTATTGTTGATGTAGTAGTCAATCTGGCTTTCAGAAGATTGCTACATAGCAAGATTCCTTCGATTGACCATAAAGAGGCCAACAAGTCATACAAGCTTCCAAATCCTTGGGGATGAGCACACTGATGTTGGAAAAAAATGCATAATGATGTGAACGGAAAAGATGCTAGGCAACTATATTCCAAACATAATTGGATTGATTATGGAATACATAGCTAAGTCAATGTAGTTAAATAAATATTCAATGCACACACTACACAGCATAGAAAAGCTGCCAGACATCCATAGCTAAACACAACTGAATGATGAAAGACATTGTAGCAATATATAATCTTTTGCATTTGTCTTTAGGTTCAATGACTACTGAATTATAAATGATTACCGGATCAGTAACTAAACAAGCAGATTGCAGTGACAGGAAAATTGAATCATAGAGAAAGAAGCATCACATACCCCAATCACAAGTTTGGGTTCTGCTAAAGCAATATAAAAGTCTTACGATACTAGTTCAGTACAGAAAATTGTCAAGATAAAAGACAACATAAGCCATCTGTACTACAGATAGATGTGCTTGCATCTGCACATTTATTTATCCAAGCATTTATAAAGAAAACATATAGCACAACTCGTAAAATGCAATTATTATGCAAAATCTTGATCAATCAAGATTTATCTACGTTTAAAACTAGCAATCAATTGCTTTTTTAATTCAACATACAATGATGAACCTCTTGATAAATCAAGCATTCAGCGGTTTACCAACACATACAATGTCAAGACAGATAACTTCTTACACACCACAATTATTAAGTGAGAAAACAAAGATAACACCGACCACTTAATATAAACAGAGAGAGAAAAGGAGGATAATTTTAGCTTACAAGTAAACCCTGCCCCCAGAGCGGAACTATACCTTTGTATAATCTGCAATAAATAATTTCAAGGATAAATAAAGTAATTACAAAAGAATAAAACAGAGGGAGAAAGGTAAAATGACAAAGAAAGAAATCATACCCCAAAACACCTTCAGATTTTACAAGCTAAGGTAATCCATCACGCAATCCCCTTGCAAATCCAGGCTGTGTCTGGACCCGCACCTTCACTGCCTCGAAGGGTCAGAGAGAAACATCAGCAATTAATTCAGCGGAAGTAAAACTCGCAAGGTAGATCAACATCTGATACTTGGTGGCATACTCTGGGCCAGCTACATCTGAATAGTACCTCTTGAAAAACTGAGAAAACCCAATCTTGCACGCCGCTAGCGCACTTAACCAAAGCAGGGTAGGTGCCCATCCCCTGAAGAAACCCCTGGCCCCTTGTTCTTTAAGCACGACCCCAAATCCTGAAGAGATGCTCTGGTACTTAGCTGGGTCGATCTAAAAAAAACTCCAGCAAAGACTTACGGTCAAAATGATACAATGAATAAAAATTGAGATCAACATCAACCCTAGTCAACAGAACTAATTCATTTCAAGAACGTATTCCCCAAATGGAAGAGTCGAGACCTTAATCCAGCCCTACCGAATCATTTTGAACAAAAACTGTACATTTGCTGCTAACACATGAAAACTGTTATGATCTCACAGAAACAGAGACATTTGCACCAAAATAAATCACACGAACTATAATAGAGACAATAAACCAATGTTGCCCAAATCCAAGGCATGCAGCAACCAAGTCGATAAATAAAAATCTGATGGCCTGGATCAACCATCCTAGAGAAGCTCAGATTTCCGAAATCCGAAACCATCAATACGATAGCATTTAAGAAAACAAAATCTTGAATTAAATTGTACAAGATTATATCACGACATTTAACGTTCTCATTCCACAAAAAAGAATAAAAGAAATAGAAAAGAAGAAGAAATAAGTGGTGGTGGAAGATCTTAGTAATCCGCGAGAACAGTCGAGGAACCGAATGGACTGGAAAGGAGTAATTGCCAAATGCAAGCATCAAGATCTAAGCGCACAACAAAGGCTTCCGGTTCTCACCTTCATGTTACACTTCACAAGGTCTAACGGGTGACGGCCATGTGGGTGAGGCCGTAAGCGGCGATGCCTCCGGCCGTGCAGGCGGCGGATAATAAGCGCAAGCACATCTCGGACTTTCCCGGCTCGATGGGCGCCTGAACAACAACGGAGATCGGCGATGGGCCATAGCCCGCGTCCGCCGGCGAGGCGAGGCAAGGGTCCGGCCCAGGACCAGGTCCATGGAAAGGGAGCGGAGGGAGAGTAAAGGAAGCTCGGGAGGAGGGATCAGCGAGAGCCCTCAAACAGATCCATCGCGGAGGCCAGACGAGCAAAGAAGAGAACCCATGCGACGGCTAACTTCCCGCGCCTGCGAATGGGACCGATTCTAAGAAGACTGATCAAAGCCGTTCCTTAAGGTTGTCGGTGATGTTATTTACACTATTAAAATAACAGAAAAACCTCTCAGATCTTCACATAATTACGAATTATATGGATATTATTTAATATATCAGCATCAGATAGAAAAGTTAGGGATCGAATATATGATAAGTTATCATATCTATAATTCTAGATTTTGGATCGAGTTAGTTAAGGTTAAGGTTTGAATTAGAAATTGTCAAGCTAAATATATTTATTTTCATGAAATATTTTATAGAGAAAGGAGTATTGATAAAAATAAAATTAAATAAATATTTTAAATTTTTTTAAACATTTTTTTTACTTTGTTTGAGGAGTTTAAAATGTTACATGTGATCAGAAAAATAGGTTACAATTTATAGGGGCAATAGTTGTAATCTTTTTTAAGCAATACGTAGATTTCTTTAGAGAAAATAGTGATATGGATGCAAATAAGTTATCCTAACAATTACATGATTTCCTAGGAAATTTTTTCTATAAGATGTTATATTATATTTCAAAAATTATGTGTGTGTCAAAAAAAACAAGAGGTAATTTGAAAAAATAATAATAAAAAAAACCTATTAAATACTTTTATAGGATTAATTATAGATTATCCTATGTAATTAGTTATCTTTAATATATCAGTTCTTATACTTTCAAAAATTATATTAAGATCTTTATACGTAAACATTTAACCTCGTTGTTCCAATAAATTTTTTTTATTTTTAATTTTATAAAATTATCTTTTTAATTCTTATAAAAATCTTAATATTTAACTTTCGCAAATATAAAGATTTTAATATAATTTTTAAAAATATTAAAAATAACTCATTACAAAAGACAACCTACAATTAACCCTACCTCCATACCTCTCAAGCTGGATGGATAGATTATAGCATGGGAATAGATATCGTTATCCTCTCTCTCTCTCTCTACGGGACACAATCTATTCCAAAAGAGAAATCCAAAGCGACAGAGACTGCACGGCCATGGCGGCCATAGAAAGCGGCACCCACGCGCGGAACGGAGGGGGGGAGGACGATGGCGGCAGCAACGGTGGTGGGGTTGGCATGGAGCAGATCACAGTCAGTTGTATTATTATAACCGGCCTAAGCTCGTCGAGGTGGCGAGCGATGTCGATGTCGGCCACCAGCTGATGTCCGGTCGGCCGCGGCCTCGACAAAAGTGCTTCTTCCTATCCTGGTTGCAGTTTCGCAGCGCCATCATCAAACAAGCAGTGCAAGCTCGTCTTCGACCTTTGCAAGTTCGTAGCCCGTGGCATTTTCTGTCTTTTATTTTGCTGCTTT